ACACACACACACATCAAAAAGAGTCCATATAACAGGGTGAAAATTAATACAAGCTATGATATGGCTTTGTTCTATTTTCAAAAATCCAGGTGTGCGCTGTGGCAATCTAAAGAGCGTCTGCAATGCAGATAATCTGTACGGCATTTTAAGACCTAGAGACTCACAGCCAATGTTCAAGCTCCAGATTGGTTGTAATGCACAGTAGACTGCACAGATTGCTTTATGTTTGCTACAGTTTCTCACCAAATTCACACCACAATAACTGTTTGAGTATATATGAAATTATTTAGATGACATCTGATTGTTACTGCCAACAAGAAACTTCAGGTTGTGGAAAGGAAACTTATCTGGTGCCACACTAAAACCAGATTGAGACACAAAGAGTAAGAATCCAAAATTGAGGCATAGCAATTCTTACCAATTCTGTTGGTGTCACTGTGGAATGAATAGGGACTGTATGGTCTGTTGTTCCACCAATTTGATCTATTTGAACAACCTTAACCATTGGCTTTTATGTTCCCAAAATGTATTGTGATGGTTTTGGAGTCCTCCTGACTTGGTTACTATGAGATTAGATACAGACATTCACGGTGTCCTTTTAATAAATCCTGACCACGTTGTTTGGACCCTTTCTTTTCTACTATTAGTTGCCTTACTGTGAACTTTCCATTTATCTACATCTGTCAACATATCTATTGACTGGAAAGGCAGGTCAATTTCAACTCCATTACATTTGTTTGAACTTAATTTTGTTTAAACAAACAAATCATTTCATCAGTTAGAACTTTATTAAGTGTTGAGCAATACTTAGCAAATAGTAGCTTGCTAACAAGACAAACTACACTATAAACATTCAACTTGCTAATCATGAATACCTTAGCAATATTAGCATGCTAATGTAATGCTCAGGTCTCAGATTGTCTGACATGTGAACTCAAAGTTTTGTAAATGTTTCATAACTAATTTGTAATTACTTTTTTTTTAACATTAAGAGATGTGATTTTACTGTGATGTTTAAGTTGTTTCATTGTTGTTTGTTTGTGCTAATGTGTAAGCCAGGACCAGATATATGCCTGACCATTTAAAAAGAACAAACTAAACTTACTATCTTACATTACATAATCCATGTCAAAACACATCTGTGGGTTCAGAAAAAGAAATCAGTTCAAATAAGAGCCACGACTTCATAACGCTCATGATTACAGCAAACTCGTAATCAACCCCAATCAGATGAACAAGGGGCTTAAGGCTGAAATGGGTCTGTTGTGGCCACAATGAAACTTGTAATTATGCCAACATAGAATTCAAGGTCTTTGACCTGTTTCCTACACTAACACCCAGTACAAGTGGCTCTTAATGGAGAGTTACATATTTTTGATACAGCAGTCTGTGATCAGTTTCACATTAACTAGTTAACTATTGTTAAGTACTTAAGCAACAAAAAAAACAACACAGTGAATAAAACCACTTGATTTACAAGGGATATTTTTTACTTACATTTAAATGTATTTAGTACATGAAAATTCAAGCTGCAACTGCTCATACTATTTATTTAGCTTAGTGTGACAAATTTATTCCTTTAGTGCAGAGCTTCCCAAAGTGTGGGGCCCGCCCCCTAG